AGCGGGTGGCCAGCAACCGGGAGCAGTGGACCAAGGTCTCCCACAAATTCACCATCCGGGGGTTGCCCAGTAACAACTCCCTGGACTTTCTGGATGAGGAATATGACCCACAGGCCCCTGACCCCCAGCTCAATGGCTGCCTGGAACCTGAAGCAGGGCAGCCCCCTGAGGCTGGGGCCAAGTGAGGGAGGCGATGTGGGGGGGTCACAGCCATGGCTGGGCTGGGAGCATCCCCAAGCCTCATCCCCCAGACTATGGGGAGGAGGTTTGGGGGGATATCAGTGACTCTGGACTACCACAGCAAGGGCTGTGTGCTGCCAGCACCCACCACCAGTCCTTTCCCACCATTGGGTGACTATCTCCTCCCTCCGGGGCAGGTGTTCAGATGTCCCGTTCACCCAGTGGTCCCTGGGACACTGCCTTGGTGGCTGGGAACACCAAGGGACACAGTGGGGCTGGGGGGTGGATGTGCTTTAAGCTGCCTTAAGACTGCAGGTCCTGTCCCCATGAGGTGACAATAGGAATGATGTCCTTGGTGAAAGCACCCACAGAGGGGTTGGTCACCATGACATGGGTGTGCATGGGTTAGCAGGAGAGAGGGGATGGTGTGGGGCACGATGGCAAGGGGCAGTGTGGGCTGGCTATAGAGTGTATGGGGGGTGTGTTCTTGGACCATGGTTCAGGTCCACAGAAGGTTGGCTCCAGCTGGAGGAGGGAAGAGACACCAGAGTGGGATGGCCACAGCCATGGGGATGTGCCTGCTGGGATCCACACTAGAGAACCTCTTCCTAGCAACTGCTGAGTATCTGTTGGCTAGAAGCCCCACCCCTCTAGGACCCCTGAACCCACTCACCCATGGAAGGGCTCATATCTCTCCACAGCCCAGTCCCATACAATCACACAACCATGCCCCCTACAAGGGCTACATATGTGCCAAGGCTGGGGTCTCTTGTGCTGGTTTGCATGCACAGGGGAGGCTGTGCTCCACAGGGAGTCCATCTGGTCCCATACACATCCTTGCCATGTCCCCACTATGTAGGTGTTCCTCTGAGGTGTCCACTTGGGAGCCTCCTCACTGCAAGCAGCTTCTCTGGTGACCGTGTTGTGAGCATCCCTAGCTCACAGTGGCTTCACAACTCCTGCAATACCAACCTCTGTGCATGGATCCTGCTGACATTTCAGGATCCCTCTGGTCTTGCAGACCACCATGCATGGACCCTGCCATTTTCCTGTGGTCCCTCCCGTCCTACTTGGCACCATGCATGGATGCTGTTGGTCTACCATGGTTGATCTGGTCATGCATGGACCCTGCTGTTTTCCCATGACTCCCTTGTCCTGACTGCCGCGCATGTACCTCACCAACCTCCTGTGGTTTTTCTGGTCCTGCAGACCATTATGCATGGACCCCAATGCTCTCCTCTGATTCCTCCTGTCCTAGAGACCACTGTGCATGGACCCTGCTGGCCTTCCTGTGGCCTCTCCAGTCCCACAACCCAAACCATATGGACCCTCTCAGTCACTGGGGCTCCACCAGCCTCCAGGGTCTGACCAGCTGTATGTGACCCAGGGCTCTGTCACCCCAGCCAAAGCCACTTGAAACACCCATGAGCAGGGGAACTGCAGTGAGTAGCTTGTGCTGCTGAGGCAGAGCTGAAGAGGGGGCTGGGGCTGAGGGGGTGCTCAGCCTTGAGGGATTAGGGTGCACTGAGCCCCCAGGCTGCATCATCCAGCTTGTGGGATCTGGATGAGTCCACCACCACACCAGGGAAAGGTGATGGGAGCAGCATGGTAAAATTCTGGCACTGCTTGGATTGTTGTTGGTTGTGTTGGGATCAAGAGCAGACATGGAGCCATTTGCCACCCCATCCCCACTCCTCTGCAGTATCCCATGGCACCATCCCAAGTGGTACCACGGCAGGTCCATTCTAGATTTGGGCTACACAGTGGCTGCTTCTCTCCTTGGCTTGTCTGTAAGCAATGACTTGCCTGTGTTCTCGGGGTACCTGGAGCATGTGTCTGCAGGAGCAATGGGAGACCCTCAACGCTGAGCTGCGCCACGTGGATGAAGTGATCTGAATTCCTTTTGCCTTACCTACTCAGAAATGCCTTTAGTGAGATGCTTTGCCCAAACCCTGGTGGGACTCACCTGGTGACTGTCTGTTGGCCCATGGCTTTGCATCCAAGACCCTGTTAAGCCCTTCTCCCCCTCCCCACACTGCCATAGGGGGTGGAGATAGTCCCAGAAGGCAGCAAACCCCCAAGCTGCAAGAGGAGGACAGCAGCTCCATCCCCATTGTGACACTGGCACAGCCCTGGTACCGATGTGCCAGTAAGTACAACTGTTCAAATGCAGTCCCTGCATCCCAGTACTGACCCAGGGATGCCTGACGATGCACGGATCTCTCCATCCAGTAGATGTGGGGGCGTCCTGCACTTGGGTTCTGAATCCCGGGTACCACACCATGGTGGGGGCACACAGGGATGCCCGTTTCCCAGCTGTATCCCACTTTTCCAGCCCCTGCTGCTGGTGTGTGTAGGTAGTCAATGCTTTCCCAGCTCCTGCCCCTGTATATACCCCTCTGGATACTGGGGAGTGCAGCTCACACCCAGCCCAGCTCACCCACGAGTGTGCACAGGCGTGTGTGAGTGTGCAAACCTCCTCCAGCTTTTCTGTTCTTCTGTCTTGCGGCACTGGTTGTTCTGGACTCCAATGGAGCCTGAGGAGGAGATGACTTCTCTTTCTTCCTCTCCTCCTTCTTTTCTTATTCTCCTTCTCGTCTTCCTCCTCCTTCTTCTCTTCCTTCTCCCCTACTGTTTCTCCTCCTCCTTTATAATTTCTCTTTTTTGGTGGGTTTTGGTTTTCCTAAATAAATTTCATATGTCAACCTCCCCGTGACAGGTTGGTGGGTGGCCTTGTTGGGGTCTGGGGACCTCCAATTAAGACTTATGAACCCCAAAATCACTCTCAGGGGGAGAATCCAGCTTGGGCCGTGTAGCTCTGACCCCCCCAGGAAGCTCCAGCCCTGCCCTGGATGTTCCACTCCTGTAGAATGCTCCAGTGCCCCAGGATTCACTAATCCCCTCCGAGCTCCAGCTGCTCTGGTCCCTTCCTTGTGCCCTGTTCCCTTCTGAAATGTTCCAGAACCCCAGGATGCTCCAATCCCCTGGGATGCTCTTTCCATCCCCACCTGCCAGGCTGGGACCTATTCAGCCTAGCAGCAGGGGGAGCTGGGCAAGGGCAGGTTACAGCTTGGGCTGGCACTGCTGACACCTGCAGGATGAGGCCTGTGTCAGGACCCCTCTGTGCCTGGGCTGGGACTGGGGCAGAATTCAGCTGCTCCTCTGGCTCCCACAGCCGTTCTTGCATGGCCCCAGAGGGGACCCCCTTGTCTGCCCATCATCCGTGCATCAGGGTGGTGGTTTTCATTCCCGCTGTCTGGCTAAGGAGACTTTTATTATCCAAGATCAGTGCAGCACTTTCATCCCAGCCCAATCTTGACAGCTCTATCCTGGGCGTTTGATACCCAGAGGAAAAGTCCCCGGAGGCTTTGGTGCTGGCATGCTCTGGCACTCCATGAGCTGCCAAAATTGGGGTGAGAAACTACCCAAACTACCAAATGCCCCCATCCTGCTCCAAGCGCCAGTTCAAATCCTGGGATTAAATCTTTTAATCCTCCAAACTTGTCCCAGAGCAGGGGTTATGGTGCCCAGCCAGGAGCTGTCCCACTTCTGCCTCTGCCACCAATGGCTCCATGCCCTTGGGTGACATCCCTTCCTGGATGCGTCAGGGTATCACAGCCTTCCTTCCCTCCACAGCCTCACCACAGCCTCGGCCCGTCATTGCTTTCTATCCTTCTGTCCCGGCTGATCCCTAAGGTGGGGTGCAGATTTCCCCAAGGATGGGGTAAAGCCGCCCCGTATGTGGGGTGCTGGTGTCCCAAGGTGGGGTAGAGGAGACACCATGTGTCCATCCTCTGTCCCCTCCACCCGCCCCACGGTGGCCTTGGGGGCGGGATAGGGAGGGGATGCTCCAGCTGGAGATGGACGTACCACTGAGAATCACCTGAAGCCCGTTCTCCATGGGCTGCTCTGCGACAGGAGGCGGGCGGGAGGGGACCGCAGCCAATGGGGAGGCCGGGGGCGGGCAGGACGGACGTGTTCCTTCCTCCAGGGAAGGTGAATTCTGTTGGAGGGGAGGGACACCTCGGGAGTGGGGTGTGCGCAAGTGCGCGTGTGTGTACCTGGATTGTGTGCGTCCGTGTGCATAGTCTGTGTTTTGTGCATGTATATGTGCGTGTGCGTGTGCACATGGATGCGTGTGCACGCTTCTCTGCATGCACGTATGTGCACGTGTGCGTGTGTTTGTGTGTGTGTGCATGAGTTCACGCGTGTACGCACGGCGGTTGTGTGCAGCTGTGCGTGCATGGACGTGCAAGTTACGTCTCTGCGTTCGGACACCTCTCTTTGTATTCACACTCGTGTGTGTTGTATTCACAGACGTCTCGGTGCTCACCACGAACGTGTCTCCGCTGACACGCGGGTCTCTGTTCACGCACACGTGTCTCTGTATGACCGCACACGTGTCTCCATGGTCACACAAGGGCTTCCCCCCGCCCCTCCATGGCCGTGTGCAGCCGCTGGGGGGCGCCCCGAGCCGTGCGCGTGCTCCCGCCGCTCTGTGTGTGTGTGTGTGTGTGTGTGTGCGCGCGCGCGCTCTCGTGTGTCCCCGCACGCGCACCGCCCCACACTCTCCTATCCCCCTCACCGCCTTCCCACCCACCTCCTGGTAGCCCCGTGCCCCCTCTCCCCGTACCCTCTTTCCGTGTCTTCTCCCCGCCCGTGCGGCCCGCGCGCGCCGCCGCCCCCGGCCCAGGGGCCGCGCCGCTCAGGGGCGGGCGGAGGCGGCGGCGGCGGCGGCAGCGTCCGCACCGGAACCGGGACGGGCCGAGCCTTGCCGAGCGCCTCCGAGCGTGTCCGAGCGACTCCGAATCTGCCCGAGCGGTTCCGAACGGCCCCGAACCGGCCGGCGTGGCGTCCGCCCGGGCCGAGCCGAGCGGTTCCGAGTGTTTCCGAGCCCGCTCGAGCGTTTCGAGCGGTTCCGAGCGGGCCCGAGCAGGGCCGCATCGGGCCCGCGCCCGCCCTGCCGCCGCTCCCTCCACCATCCAGCCAGTAATTTTCCAAGCCCAGCTGGCGCTTCCCGGCTGAGCCCGCAGGATCGGCGGGGCCATGGGAGACAAAGGCACCCGGTGAGTGAGGACTGGGACAGAGCGGAGCATCCCGGGGGGGCATGCTCGGGCACGGCGGGGGAGGGGTGGGACAGGCGCTGCCCGTGGAGCTGGGGGTCCCGCGGGGTGCCTGCTGGGATATGGTGCCCCCCGAGGAGTAGTGAGGACCCGGAGACTGGGAGTGGTAGGGGGATGTTTGGTGGGTCCCGCCTTGGGTCCGTGGAGTTATTCGGGGCATCACTGCTCCCTCCCCATCAGATTTGGAGCCTGGGTGGATTTGGGATGGAGGAGGCTGTTGTCACCCCGGTGACGCCAGGGAACCCAGGCCCTGATGTCACTCCCAGCGTGCGGCACAGCTGGGGGTGTCGGGGAGCACGTGCCAGCCCTGGAGCGCGGGGACAGGAGGGCGTGCGAAGCCTTCATCCCATGGGAATGCTGCCATGGTGATGCTGTCTTTTGGGGGCCCCAGCCTGATGACCCCTGCCAGCCCTAGCAGGGAAGCCTGGGGGATCTCCCGTGACATCCGCTCACCAGATGGCTCTGGTGGAGTGGTCAAGGAGTTGACACTCCCATTCTTCACCCCAATCCCTTTCTATCCCCTTGGCCATTAATCATGGAAGATTATGGATTTCAGGGTGCTCCTGCTCACCCCTCAGCACCGTCGCCCTCCCTCTGCTCATCCCCATGCCCCCTTGCCATCAGGATCAGGGGGCTTTGCTGCAGCCTCTGCCCCTCCCATGGCCATGGCAAGAGAAAAGGATGAGTGAGTCTGGCCCTGCCTGGGCAGAACGTTCCAGAAACATTGCAGTGTTTTGGGGTGGCAGGATGGGAGTTGTGGGTTCCTGTTGAACTCATCCAGCATTTTGGAAAGTGGCTGTTGCTGCTGCCAGCCTGCTGGGTGTTTGTGCCCCTGCCGTGGCTGACAGCATCCGCTTCCTCCCTGCTCAATATCCTGAATTCTTGAGAATTCATGTTGCACTCCTGGAGCAGCCAGACAGTCTCACAGATCAGGAGGCTGGGGCACGCACTGGGTTCCTCCCAACGTCTGGATGCAAACCCCAGGATGCAGCTGGTTTGGCCTCCAGGGTTTTTTGGGTGCCGGGGGGAGCTTGGTGAGTGGCATTCCCGTCAGCAGGCAAGCCAGCAGGAGAGGCATGAGCTGATCTTCTCCCTGCCTACGCAGCACGTACGGAAAGCTGGGGGGGGGGAAAGAATTAGGCTGACAAATCCCTCTTCCTCTCCAGTTTGGATCTCCAAACCCAAATCCACTGGGTTTGATCAGGAGGTTCAGCTGTGGGAGCTAATTTACTATCTGGTTCCCCAAAACCCCATTTCTGCTGATTCCTTCTGTGGCACCCCACTTTTCTTGGGAGTCACCAAGCCCTGCAATGGGAAGAGCTGGAAGAAACAGCTGAGTTGGTGGCTGTTGGCATCATTGATCACCTTTTCCTGCTCTTCCCACTCGGCACTCAGTTAGGGCAGCTGCAACCCCACTGCAATTCCAGTTACTGGAATTCCTGGGATTCCTAGCCCATGGCTTGAGGGTGGTTTCCTGGTGCCTGGGAAGTACTGCAGTGGTTCTGGTACACCAGAGCCCAATTTGGTTGGCATTAAGCACTCCTTGCACCTTTCTTCTGGCCCCATAGTCCCATCCAGCCCCTCTGTAGCATTCCACCATAGCATCTTGCTGCAAGGGGGGTGACCCTTGCCAGTCACCAGACCTGCTGCTCAGTCCCTCTACCATCCCATTCATACCCCTGGATGAAGCCATAGGATTTGGGAGCAGGATAGGAATCTCCACCTAGAAGAGAAAGAGCCCTGGAATATGGCCCAGGATGGGAGAATCCTGCTTCCTGGATGTTGTTTGTATGTTGTTTGGAGAGCAAACTCTGGCAATAACAGTAGGATCCTGACACATCCCGGATCCCACCAAGGCGTTTCCTCACCAAGGAAGGTAGTGAAGCTCTTACCCAGCTGGGGGATGCTGCTGCTGAGCCTGGCAGGGGGTAGATGGATGGATGCAGCAGGGATGCAAAATGCAGCGTTGGGCCTGTGGGATGCTCTTGCTTTGGGATTGGCTGGCATGGTTCTCCAGGCTCATCCCGGCACAACTGGCACGGCGCTTCTGGCCACGACCACAGGGTTGTGCCGGTGCATATGATGTGGTTGCTGGTGGTTCCGTTATCCCCGGAGGTCCCTTTTAACGTGGCTCTAGCTAATTAGATCTGCCAGCCAACCTTGTTAGCGTGAGAGCTGGCAAAACCTCTGGATTCTCTGCCCTGGGTTCAAAGGCAATCAATGGTGTTGCCATCAGATCCTGTTCTGATGCCCAGGGCAATCAAATCATCATAAATCTTCCCAACCAAGATCCAATGGACCCCACTCAATTATTGGCCACCCAATAAAGCTATTGTTAGCCCTGGCTGGGTGCCTAACAAGCTCATTAAAGGATTGGATCCACAGCAAGGAGAGGGCAGGAGAGATGGGATCCGGCTGTGCGGCAGCATGATGGGCTCAGGGGATACTGGGACTGCCAGCCCACGGCGTGAGGCCCCAAGCCCCTGATGGGCAGCGTCAGAGGCCACTTCCTGCCTCGTGTCTCCAGTGTTTCGACACCAGGAAGGGCTGGAGGGGGAGGGAAGGCTTCACACTTCCTCCTTTCCTCCCTCTAGATCCGGTGGCGGGCGAGGGTCACCCTGCTGGCAGCAACAGGCCGCTGTGTCCCCATGTGCCCCTTCCCTTCTCTCTGGTGCTTCAGGAGAGATGTGAGCTCCTGCACCCATGGTGTGGGGCCAGGCAGGGCTGCTGCATCCACAAGTATGAGGGCATCACACACTCATGTACCCACGGTGCGGAGCCAGCCTGGGCTCCTGCATGCACAGCATGGAGCTGTGTGGATCTCAAATTCTGTGGAGCTTCTGCACCCATAAAGTGGGGCTTCTGCACCTGCAGTGTGTGACTGGGCAGGTCTCAGGCTCTGTGGGGCTCTTGTTCCAGTGTGGGGCCAGAATGAGTATGTGCCAGACAGAGTGGTGAGGAATGGCTTCCTGCCACACCTGCCATCGATCTCATTTGTGCTGGGTTCATTAGTGGCTCTGTTAGTGTCTCCAGGGCTGGGTGGGGGTATCACCCGTGTCCTAGGGGGCTGGAAGTGGCACTCACTGAGCCTCCAGCCTTGGCTGCCTTTTCTGGGGTTTCCCAGCACACCTCAGGTTGTGATCCAGCATGCTGGACCCTCTTTGGGGTTTCCCTTGGGAGCTGGTCCATGGGGTGTGGGGTGTCAAAGGGGTGACAGGCTGGCAGGGGATGCTCCTCATCCTGCTTTGAAGTAATGCCTCATTAATTACCCATGAAAATGCTGCTGTTAGTTGCTCTGGGCTCTCAGGAGGATGCATTCATTGCCCCTCCATTCCTGACTTTGGAGACTGATTCCCCCATAACTTTCAAACCCCAAAAACTGTGGGGTGCTGATGCCCCTCCCAGGAAAGTTGAGGCCTTTATCACACCAAGTTATTTAATTGGAGCAGCATTCCCATTAATTCCATCTTTCCTTGCAGCAGCACAGGATCATACCTTCACTAGCAAACCCTCATACAAACATCCTATTGTGGAAGTGCTTTCCCATTTCGGCTGGGAAAAGGCAATCCCCCAACCTCCACAGAGAAAAGCCGTGCAGGAAGAGCCAGCAGGATGTTCTGACGTGCCCAGTGGCTTGGGACAGCCAGAAGGATGTCCCCAATATTTTATGTGTCTGGCAGAGGGTTCCTGTGGCTTGTCTGGGGACAAGAGAATGGAGGCACCCAGCCCCCACACTCCCTTATCCAGACTAGATCCTGCTTCCTGGGCAGAGCCTGGCCAGGCTGTGCTGTTCCCCATGGCTCTCAAGAGACTGGGGTGTGGAGACTTGGGCATGCAGGAGTGCAGGGTCACAGGGAGGTATGGACAGAGGATTTCAGGGATATGGGAGTGAGGGGTGTGCCCACAAATCCCCTGATGCATCCTACCCCATCGCCAGGTCAGTAGTCACTCCCAGGCTGGCACCCACCAACTGCTGCTTTCCCTGCCTGCCCCTTGGCTCAGTGTGGGTAGCTGCAGGCACTGGGGTGGCTGAGAGTCCATCATCCAGTAGCAGCCTGGGACATTTTGGCAGAGCCAAGCAACTGCCCTGGGAAATTATTATTTCCAGCTTAAAACCACTACTAATCTTCTCAGATGGTTTTAATGGAATTTAAAGGCGAGGAGGGATTATCTGAGGAGAGCCCATTATAGGTGGCTTTGTGCCAGGGCAGGCTCCGAAAAATCTGGCAGTGCCAGGCACCCTAGCTGCCTCCACCCGTTCCCTGCCTGCTGCAGACAGGCTGGGAACGCTCTGGCATTTCCCAGCAGTGGCATGTTGGACCCACATCCTTTCTCCCATGGCTTTGTGGGGTGTTCCAGAAGGATTTTTCCTGTTGAGAGGGGTGTCTGAGGGCTAGTCTCATGGTTTGGAATAGGAATAAAAAGCCCTGGGGACAGGACCACCTCAGACTTTTCTTGCTTCTCCAGCGGCTTTGGGATGCATCCATGTGAGGTAATGGTGAGGTATGTTCATTCCGTGGGATGCTACCATCCTGTGTGCTTTGACCCGTGGTCCCACAGTCTGGTCCCCAGGGCCAGGTGGATGCTGGCATGCTGCTGCCCTTCACAGTGGTCTCTGGGCACCATCCTCAGGCGAAAGGGTGGGCTGGGGTCCTGACACCTCCATTATCCAAAGCTGGGCCCTGGCAGTGGGTGCTGAAGGTTGGATGTACCTGGCGCCCAATGGGACTGTGCCAGTGGATGCTTCTTCCCCCAGGGACCTTTCCTGAGCGGGAGAGCTGGACAGCTCCATGGGCAGGGAGCCAGGAGCAGAGTGGGGGGTTCGGGAGTCAGAGTACCTCCTGCTCCAGCACTTACACTCCCTTTGCTGTTTTGCAGGGTGTTTAAGAAAGCCAGTCCTAACGGGAAGGTAAGGGGGACATAGTGGGGGAAACCATGGGGTCACAAGCATGGCTGGGCCTGGGGGATGGGGGGTTCATGTCCCTGAACCCCAGATGTGCCCTGCACCCTGCTGCCTGCCTCAGCATTCTGCCAGGGTAGCAGGAAGGGAAACTGAGGGAAACACAGTGGAACTGGGAGAGGGGAGTGGGGCTTTCCCAAGGTCAGGGGTCAAGCAGACAGGTTTTGAGTGCTGGGGTGCAGGTGACCTTGCGTGTGGGTGACCCTGCGGTTTTGGGTCTGGCAGCAAGAGCTGATGCAGAAAACCTTCTGCCTTGGCAGCTGCCTGCCCTGTGCCTCAGTTTCCCCATCAGAAGAAAGGTGAGAGGGTGACACTGGGGGGCTCATCCTCGCCCAGCAGTGGAGTACAAACCCCTGGGGTGCCACCCAAGAGTCCCCAGATGTAAAGTACCTCCAGCTCTGGGGCCAACTGGAAAGGTTCCAAGCTTTGACTGGAATGGGGTGGGGTTGGCTTTTGGGTACCACAGGGACAGGGTGACACTGGGGATGATGAGGAATATGGACCCCAGCAGGTGGGACAACATAGGGGACCCTGAAGTCTGCTCTTTGCATGCCTGACACCCTGTTCCCCCCTGCAGCTCACTGTCTACCTTGGGAAGAGGGATTTCGTGGACCACATCGACGTGGTGGACCCCGTGGGTATGTGGTGGCATGAAGGGGACGTCAGTTGCAGGAAGATGCTTGCCAGGGTGGGCTGGGCTGTCTGTGAAGGAAGGATTTTGGGGAGCAGAAAATAGCTGACTTGGGATAATATTCATGACCCAGTGTGGCTTTGCATATGCCCTGGGTGCAGTAGATGCAGACTGTCCCTGCTGGCAGCGTGTTCCCCCAAGCCATGTCTGGCAGCTTGGAGGTGATGGCTCTCTGTGTAAAGAAGGGACATTAACTTAACTGTGCTGGTGTCCCCCCAGACCCTACCTGTACATTCCCCTCTAACCCTACCAGCATGTCCCTTAATTCTGACAGTGTGTGTTCCCCTGCCAGCAGTGTCCCCCATCCCAGTGGCATGTCCCCTGACACTGCCATTGCATTCCCTGACCCTGACTTTCCAGTGTGTCCCCCCTTTCCCTGTGACACATTTCTAACCAGGCTGTTTCATTGCAGATGGAGTAGTCCTGGTGGATCCTGAATACCTGAAGGAGAGAAAAGGTAATGTCTACCCCTGGGATCCCTGGGGCCACAGAAGTAGCACTGCCACAGGGTGATGCTAGCATCCCCATGTAGTCCTACCCAGGCATTGGCATCTCTGGGCCCTTTGGTGACATTTTACAGCCCCTTGTTCCCATGGCAGGTTCCCTGTCCTGTAGAGAATGGGGGTGCTGTGGTGGGCATCCCAAGGCACAGCTGCGTGCTGAATGTATTCTCAACGTGGCATGTCCTCAAGCCACCACTACTTGCCAGTACTGGTGGGACTGGCATGAGCCAGGATGCCACCTTGCCTTGGTGCCCCCATGCCATGATGGTTCCTTCCATGACCCACACCCTGCTACCAACCTCCCATGTCACTCTCTCCAGTCTTTGTGACATTGACCTGCGCCTTCCGCTATGGCCGTGAAGACCTGGATGTCCTGGGGCTCACCTTCCGCAAGGACCTGTTCGTGGCCAATTCCCAGGCTTTCCCCCCTGTCCCTGAGGACAAAAAGCCGCTGACACGGCTGCAGGAGCGGCTCATCAAGAAGCTGGGCGAGCACGCCTACCCCTTCACCTTTGAGGTAGGGTGACAGCAGGTGTTCTGGGGTGCTTGAAGGGACAGTGATCCCTGCAATGGGGACATCAGGGTCCCATCTGGCCCTGTGGGGTCGAGGTTGGGAGTGAGATGCTGCCGTCTGTGATCAAGACACAGCTTTTGGTGGATCTTCGAACTTGTGAGCAGAAAGCAGCCACCAGTTGGGAAACTGCCAGTCCATATCAGCACCAGGGGGTCCATGCTGACACTGGGGATCTCTGCCAGCACTGGACAGCTCTGGCAGGGAATGGCGTGGGGGCTGACCCCCTGCTTCATGCACCTGCTCCTCTGATTTCCTCAGCAAAGCTTTGGCAATGGTGGCCATCCCCTCTGGAGGTCTGTGGCATTTTATGGGGCTCAATCCTATAGCCTTAAAAGTGGCCCTGACACCCTGATTTCTCAAAATTCCACTGGTTAATTAAAACCCTCTAAAATAATGTATTTTTATAACGCTTTGGGATTTGGGAAATGCAATAATAAAATGAGGAAATCCTTCCTGGATTTCCTTCTTTCCATTGTGGACAGGAAAGGGAAGTACTGGTAGCCCACAAAAAACTCATTACTCCCCTTTCCCTTCCAGATCCCCCCCAACTTGCCTTGCTCTGTCACGCTGCAGCCAGGCCCAGAGGACACAGGGAAGGTAAGGTCCCCCCATGTTCCCATGCCACTAGGCTGTGGTGAGTGGCCACTGCTGGGGTCACCTTTTTGGGGAGTGCAAAGGGGTTTCCCTCCTCCTTCTTCCCCTTTCCTTGTTTTCAGGCCTGTGGGGTGGACTACGAGGTCAAAGCTTTCTGTGCTGAGAACCTGGAGGAGAAGATCCACAAGAGGTAAGCAGAGAGGATCCATCCAGCTTGAATGGGAGAGGCATCCTCCTCTGGTGCTGGTGCTGGCAGCAGGAAGGGGGCACCACAGTTTGTTGGGTGAGATGTTTTCCAGGATGGGGCTTGGATGGGGATGCTTTCCAGGATGGGGCTGGGATGGAGGTGTTTTCCAGGGTAGGGATGGGTCAGAGAACATCTTGGGGCTGAGATATCCACCACTGTGCAAGGAGCCCAGCACTTGATGTGGGTAACCTAGCCAAGCCATGGGGCTTTCCCCCTGTAGCTCGGGTGGTCATCCAGACAAGACCTTACATGGCATCCTTCTGATCCAGCAGACCAGAAGAAAAAGAAGGATTTGACCCAGAATGGGTGAAGAAAGAGGGTAGCCTGTGGGCAGCCTGAGTTCTCCTCTCTCTGTCTTCCCCCAGGAACTCGGTGCGCCTTGTGATCCGTAAGGTCCAGTATGCACCAGAGAGACCCGGCCCCCAGCCCATGGCAGAGACCACCCGGCAGTTCCTCATGTCAGACAAGCCACTGCACCTTGAGGCATCCCTGGACAAGGAGGTGGGCAAAGACTGGAGAGTGTACACTGGTAGGGTGACCCTGGGGATCTCACCATCCTGTCTGCTCTGATCCCCTACAGATCTACTACCACGGGGAGCCCATCAGTGTCAACGTGCATGTCACCAATAATACCAACAAGACCGTGAAGAAAATCAAGATCTCAGGTGAGCAGTAGGGCCCTGTCCCCCCACCCCACTGCTGTTTCTGTCCCCATCCCTGTGGGGGCCTACCCTGATCCCCATCTTGCTGTATCTCACCCCAGTGCGCCAGTATGCCGACATTTGCCTCTTCAACACTGCCCAGTACAAGTGCCCAGTGGCTGTGGAGGATGCTGAGTGAGTATCGGCTTCTTGGGGACATCATAAGGAGCCCTGGAGACCTCAGGGGGGTCTTGGAGGAACCTTGGAGGTCTCCTGCTCCAGTGTAGCCCCACTGGGATGTTGCATTTGGCAAGCAGGGACTGGTGGGAGGAACAGGGAGATGGAGACCTTTTTTTCTGGTGGCATCTTGGGGACATCAACCTCTGCATCCTCCAGGAAGGAGATGTTCATCAGGCTGGGGCAAGGATAGGAATGTGGAGAAGTTCACCAGACTAAGATGGAGATGTCTGGGGTGGCCTGTGGGAGCTGTGGGTGGCTGGGGCTCTGGCTGATGGTCGCAATCATCTCCAGTGACATGGTGGCCCCGAGCTCGACGTTCTGCAAAGTCTACACCCTAACTCCCTTCCTTGCCAACAACCGGGAGAAACGGGGGCTGGCGCTGGATGGGAAGCTCAAGCACGAGGACACCAACCTGGCCTCCAGCACACTGTGAGCCCCCCTACCCCTCAGGGCTTCTGTCTCCCCTGCAGCATGGGGGCAGGACCTGGCCCCAGTGGGCGTCCAGCCCCTGCTCCAGGGTGATGCTTGGGGTGGAGGAGATACCATGGGGGGACCTTCAGGATGGCTCTGATCCCCACAGCCATTCCCTCACTGATGCCCATCTGCCTCTTCCTCCAGGTTAAGAGATGGAGCCAATAAGGAGATCCTGGGCATTATTGTCTCCTATAAGGTGAAGGTGAAACTGGTGGTGTCACGAGGAGGGTAAGTGTTGGGCACCCCCCCACTGTGCTGCACCTCCTCTCTAACCTTGGGAGTGGTCTGTGCTGCAGGTGGGGCCCCTTCATCCTTAAAGCTCCCCTGGGACTAAGCAGGGGTGGGACAAAAGATGTGTGGGGGTTGTGTGTCCTTGGGAGGGGACAGCGACTAATGTGTTGTATCCTTTGACTCATGCCAGCCTGCTGGGAGACCTCGCCTCCAGGTAACACCCCACTCCCCCCAGCACCCCCCAATCCTCACTGCAGCCCCCCATTGCACCCCCCCAGCCCCTCAGGGTGCTACCTGATCCCATGCCTGTCCTTGTGATTTCACTGTTAGGGATGCTGTCTCACCTAAAGCAAAAAGCCTGGCAGAGGTGGGGTTGGGATGGTGAGGCTGGGAATGCTGGCAGGGTTTGAATCCTGCATCCTCCTACTTGTACCAGAGTGAGAGGCCTGCGGGTGCTGCTGGGGAGAGTGAGCAGGGCACAGAGGGCTGAGCATCTCTGGATGTGGGGAGGCAAGTCTCTGGGGCTTTCCAGGTCTTCATTCTCATATCAGTTCTCTCCCACTGTCCTATGGGGACCACAGTACTACTCGTCCTCTTTTGGGACACTTCTCTGTCTGAGCTCTGCCCTACGTGCCCCTGGGGCAGCTCAGGGCAGATCAAACAGTTTAGGCTGTCATGCCCTGCTGTCACCATGCCCACTGAGCACTGGGAAAACTTGGTGGACTTCCTGCCATTCCTATGGCACTGCTGGCTGCAGCCTAAGCCCAAGGGATTTGGATCCCCCCCCCAGCTGCTAAAGACAGATTTTTGTCATGCTGCTCTTCCTCCTGATGCCCCTTTACTTCCCAGAGGGCCTGTGCTGATGCCCCATCCTGGGGTCCAAGTTCAACCAAGAGGCATGAGAGGTGCTGTGCAGCTCCATGGAGGATAACACAGGGGTTTGCCTGGCTTTGTGGTCTCGACAGCACCTCTAATAGGGGGTGCTGTTCTGCTCCCCCTCTGCAAATTTGCCTCACTCTGCATGTAAAGTGCAGGTAGGCCTGTGCTTTACCCTGGTGTCTTTTGCAGTGATGTTGCAGTGGAGCTGCCCTTCACGCTGATGCATCCCAAACCCAAGGAGGAACCAGTACACCGGGACAGTGAGTGTGTCCCTGGGTGACAGGGCCAGTATCCCTGGGCATGGGTGGGGGAAAAGGGGGCCAGTGAGGCTGTGTGGAGGGAGATTCTTGGCTCCTGTTGACTCTATTCAACAGAGCTCAGTGTTAAAACCATGGGGGTGCTCCCATCACCCCAGTGCAGCCAAACTCCAGGAGGGTTGGAACAGTGGTGGACAACCCCAGGGGAATCTCAGCCACCCCAGTGGGATGGCAATGATGACTGCAGGGGGGGTGTCACCCACCCTGGTAGGTGAGGGCAGAGATGATCCTGGGGAAGGTGTCACCCACCTCGGTGGGATGGCAGTCACCACACTGTGACTAATCCTGTGTCTTCCCTCTGTTCAGTTCCAGAGAATGAAGCACCCATAGATACCAATCTGATAGAGCTTGATACAAAGTAAGAGACTAAAGTACACCCCTCCCCTAATTCCCACATTTTGTGTGGGAATATGAAACATGGTGGTTGCATGGCACACCCCCCCGAATCCTCTAACACCTGCTGTGCCATGGGATTGGCACGTGTGATTAACCCCCACACATGTCACCTGTAATGCATGACGTGTGCTGTTCCCCTCTCTTTTCTCTTCTCCTTTGCCCTTTCCTGCATGGCTTTCCAATAAACAGGAGAAACTGCAGTAAGAGGCCGCCGGGATCGTGTTGGGGGTGTGGGAGGTTGTCGCCACAGCGTTTCCTGTGCTGGTGATATGTTTGGGAGGTTCTTGGGTACTTAACCCACCCAAGCTGCTCCCTGCCAGTGTGCGGTTCCCTTAGAGTGGTGCAAGTGCCAATGGCCCTGGTAAAGCTGCACCTGCTGGAGAGCTTGGGGGCTCTTTTTTGGGTGCATTGGGCAAGTATTAATAAGGCTTTGAAAATTGAAGCTGTTTGCTAGGGATGTGGGATTTGGGGCCCCCTGAGCTGCTGTATAACATTGTGGCAGTGCAGGTTGAGCCCACTGGGCAAGCTGGGACAGCTTTGTGGGGCAGGGTGTGTTTCACCTTGCACCCCACCTAAACCACTCTCCCTTGTGTCCCCACTAGCGATGATGACATTGTGTTTGAAGACTTCGCCCGCCAGCGACTGAAAGGCATGAAGGATGACAAGGAGGATGAGGAGGAGCGGACAAATTCCCCGCAGCTCAACGACAGATAAGCGAGCCCCCCCTGCTCGCCACCCTGCCCCAGGGACACCCCTACATTAGGCTGCTTCTCTTTTCTATAATTAATTAATTAATTTTGTTTTCTACCTGTACTGGGAGCCTACAGATCACCTGATGGCCACAGGACCTATAACCGTCCAGCTGTGCCGTGTTGTCTCTTCATCCAGCTGCCAGAGCTGCTGTTTCCTGTGCAGGGCATGGCCAGGGGGGTGCTGGAGGCAGCAGGGCTCACTGTAACCCCATCCCTGTCCAGCCTCCTGCCACTTACCAGAGCCCTTTCCTATGAGCTGCCTCTTTTATGAGTTTTATATAAGCCCAGTCTCAATACCAGTTTGCTATGGGGAGGGGGGTTGCAGCAGAATGGGGGTCGGGGGGTGGGTGGTTTTTTTTAGGCAGCCTTCTCATGGGAAAAGGCACCTGTGCACTTCGGTGTCCCCTCCTTTCACCCATGGCCAGTCCCCCTCTGTCCGGCCCTGCTGCATGTGTTCCCCCCCTGGGATGCATGAGCCTGGCTTTGACTTTGGCCCCTGCCCCAGCTGCTCCAAAGGGGGTGGGCAGCACCTGCCCTTCTCTTCCCCCAAGTCCCCTCAAAGTGGCCAACCCCAGGGGTCCTCCCAGCTGCATCAGTTTTCACACCAGTATAATCTCCCTGGAGGAAACCAGCTCAGAGCTGGGAGCTGCTGGGGCCAGGTTAAGGTGGCAGAGGGGACACTGTAGGTCTGTGCCATCAGTCACACACTGCTTGGTCTGGGAGAGGCCTCAAATGCCTCTTCACAACCATGGCAGTGTTGTGGCGGAATAGCCTGGTGCCCAGCAAGATATTGCCAGGGCTACTTTTGTCCTGCAAAAAGCTGCAAAACCCTCCTGGTTGATGTTTTGCTCTGCCTGCATGGGATCTAGCACCTATTTGGGGGTAGTGGAGAAGTGGGGTGTTTGCCACCCTAGTGTTTCAACAGATGCTTGTACCTCCTGGATTGGTGGTGCCTGGACCCCCTCCCCTCTCTAAGGGTCTCTGGTTTCCCACCATCCATTGAGAGGCCATTCCCACTATTTATTGTGCTGTTGCAGTCAGCATTGTCATCTGAGAGCATTTTGTGGAGGTAGCTCCATCCTCCCCACCTGGTTTGTGGGGTGCTGAGCTGAGCCCATACCCCTCTCCCCCCGGTAATTTTTGGGTAAAGCTGATGGGCAGCGTGGTACTTCTTTTTGTAAAGTGGTTCCTTTGTACTGATCATTGATACCTGCTGCTTTGGTTTCTCCACCCTGTCTGTGATGTTTCTGTGTTCTGTCGAATAAATTATTCTAGTTTATTAAACTCAGAAAAAAAAAAAAAAAGACAAAAGAAAAAACAGTAAAATACAGTCCCAATACCTGGACACTTCTGTTGGCTAAGGACGGGGGAACTGGCGTAGGCAGCAAGTCACAGAACCATAGAATGGTTTGAGTTGGGAGGGACCTTGAAGCTTATCCAGTTCCATCCTCCCTGCCACGGGCAGGGACAACTTCCACTAGACCAGATTGCTGAAAGATCCATCCAACCTGGCCTTGAGCACTTCTAGGGATGGGACATCTTCTCTGGGCAACCTGTGGAAGGGCCTCACCATGCTCACAGGGGAATTTCTTCTCTCCTGTGCAAGGACCAGGGAGCAGCAGCTACCTGCCCTGCTCGTGCCACCCCATCCCTCCTCTGATGACAGCCTCCTTGGTGTGCAGAGACATGCAGAGAGGATCCAAGGAGGAGATGAAGGTTTCTGTGTCCTGCAGCAGGGACTGGGCATTATTTTGGAAATGAAATGCACAGCCATGCTGTACCTGATGAGCATAGGGCACTAACGAGCTGCTTGTTAAACAAGCAATGTCCAGTCTGTGTCCTGCTGAGGAACTGCTCAGAGCTGATTGTTTCAAGGATCACAGAATCATGGAGGTTGGAAAAACCCTCTAAAGACATACAGTCCAGCGATTCCCCCAGCCCTGCCAAGGCCACTAAACCATGTCTTCAAGAGCCACATCCAAACATCTGTTAATGCTGCAGGAAGCTTCTCATCTCTTTTGAGCGCAGCAGGGGCCACAACTGGCAAATGAGCCAAATAACACCTCCATTTATGAGCCTGAATTTGGAGACAGTTCCTCGTGGAAGGGCTGTGGCTTGTCCCCTCATAGTGAAGGAAGGAGAAACCATGCCTCAAGTTGTGCCAGGTTTCGATTGGATATTAGGGAAAATTCCTTCCCTGAAAGATTGTTCAGCCTTGGGACAGGCTGCCCAGGGCAGTGGTGGAATCGCCATCCCTGAAGGGATTTAACAGATGTGCAGATGTGGCAATTGAAGACATACATGGTTTAGTACTGGGCTTGGCTGTGTGTGAGTAAAGATTGGACTCCATGATCTTAAAGAGCTTTTCCAACATGAATGGTTCCATGATTCTACATCCCCAGCTGTGTTACCTTGCCCAGGAGTTAAAACTCTGTGACCTCAGTGAAGACAGGCTTTCTGGATGACTTTTCCAGAGAAAAGTCCAGAGAGAGCAGAGGTTGGACACAATCATGTCCCATGCAGCTTGAGCTCTCTTTGCCATGCTGATGCTAGGGGGAGAGTCCTTAAATTGGTTCACTTCATGGGTGTCAGCATTTGTGCCAGAGGCTGTCTTAACCTTCCCCACCAAAGAAATATGGCTCCACCAGCAAAGCCAAAGTCTCCAGTCATACAACCAGACTGATCCCATATGGGCATTGCCAGAGGCAATATGCATTCCTGGGAGCAATGTCCCTATTGCCCAGCACAACTCTCCAAATCCCTCATATGTGCATAATCCCTTCCCCCAGCATCTGTGAGTACTTAATATTTTTGACATCTCCAGTCCTCTGTCAAATCTAGTTCAAGCTGGACAAGAAGGCTTAAGTTATTTTAGGAAAAAAAAGGGAAGTTTACATGGGTACAAACTGAGCTATTGCTTAAGCCCCATTTTGAAAGCCAAGCAAATTCAGTTCTCTGTCCTTGTTGCGCTATCTGCATCGCTGTGAGTGGAAGAGGGTCAGCTCCTCCACATGTCCTGGCAAAGGAGGCAATGAGAAAGACGTAGCTGGGGTATTGGAAAGGCTCCAGTGGTCTTCTCTCTACCTCAGAGCCCACCTCCTCCAAGGTGAGACCCTCCCTCTATGGCTGTTTCCTCCAGGAAGGAGGAACTGCACAATCTGAGACTGCACCTTCTGTTTGCCAAATCGCCTGCTCTCAGGGGTGCTCGAGGAAAACCCACTGAGCTCCAAGATCCCTCTCTGGGAACCCTTCATGGCTGTGTACTACACACCGCCCTTCCTGGGGCTGCTATGGGTCCCATCATGGGGCAGAAAGGCCACCTCCAAAATGCAGGAACCTGCAGGTCTTGGTCCAGGGGAAGAGCATGCTCAGCTTTACCACAGCTGGAAGGGACTGAGTCAAGAGCAGATGGAGAGACTAACAAGTCAGGAGCCCTCCCTGCTGCCTACACTGGGGCAGAAATGCTCCCAGGTTCTTGGTCAGAACCTGTTTTCCCCCAGTTCAGCTCTGGCTCAGCTGGATTGGTTTTGCTGTGGATCCTTGGCAGCGGAAAGGATGCTCAGGCACTCCTGGAGGAGAGCTAGGCTCCTCTAGGACTCAAAAAGGCTTTTCCCTTTGCTGATGGTGGCGACACAGATCCATGCTTTTAATAAGTGACAAAACATCAACATCCCCAGCCTTGGGCAGGATGTGTTGCCCCTGCTGCACATGCTGCCTGATGGAGTTTTGGGGTGAGCGGAAGTTTCCACATGGCTTGACCTGGGAGAAGAATGGAGCAGGTTCCAGGCTCAGCTGCCAGGCAGACAACTGTTGCCATGCCACAGAGTGAATCAGTACAGCACATTCCCAGTGTAAGGTTCCCCAGGTGCTCTTGAAGTACAGCCTTCACCCCCCCTCACCTGTCTTCACCCCCTCCTCACCTCAGCTGACACCCAGAGCAGAATACAGCCTTTTGTAAGCAGGTTGTTACTTCCCAATTAACACCTTGGTAACACTGTGGGTGTGGCAGGAATCATTGCCTGCTTTCTCAGCCCAGGAAAACACATCAGTTACATCAAATCTAAACGTGCAGTTGGTGGGAAAAGAACCAAAGTACACCAAAGGACACAGACCAGGTTGGGATCTAGATAGGGAGGGCAGAGTTTGGAGTAGGCTGGGGCTGGAAAGGTTGTTCCTCTTCCTTTTGCAGGCTGCAAGCAGGAACACAAGCAGTCACACTGAAACTTCCTGAGCAGAGGCTGCTGCTTGTGACATACATGCACATGATAAATGTCAACACCCCTCTGGGGGTGCAGCTTCGCCTTGGTACTCTGGGCCTGGAATACAGTGGGTAAATATCCCACAGAAGAGCCTGTTTCCTCAAACTCCTGTTTTTTTATGAAATTGGAGAATGGCTGGTTTGGAAGGGACCTCAATGCTCATCCAGTTCCAACTCCCTGCCATCAGCAGGCACCCCTTCCACTAGACCAGGTTGCTGAAAGATCTATCCAGCCTGGCCTTGGACACATCCAGGGATGTGCAACTTCTCTGAGCAACCTGTTCCAGGGCCTTGGCACCCTCACAGGGAAGAATTTTTTCCCAATATCCCATCTAACCCTGCCCTTTGGCAGGGAACCCATTCCTTGTCCTGTCACTCCAGGCCCTTGTCAAGTCTCTCTCTTTTTTTGTTCCTCTCCCTTTCTGCAGACATGACACAAGCCTATGATCGAACAACAGGACATACTCTGCCAGCAGCCACAGTCAGAACCACAGGCACAGCTCTCATCTGAATGCTGGTACACAGGTGAACAATTAACATAGCCAAAATTTTTACTATTATTAAAATAGAAATTTTACAGTTCTGCTCACTGCAACAGACTCCAAACAGTATCTGCAGGCACACACACCCTGCAGCCCACACAAACTAGAGCAGAGGCAGGAAATGCCCCATCTCGCCAAAACACCACCTTACCCACACTTCCCACAAGGCTGAACCCAGTCCCAGACATGCAAGGAGCCATCACTCGCTGCTGACAACAAAGTTCTGGGTTTCTGCAGATGCCATGTGTGCACAGTGACCAGGGGAGAGTCCCCGCTGCCACCTGCTCCGCCAAATGCGTGGCCTTTGTGAATGAAGACGGGCTCTGCTTCCCTGCCAGAGCTGTCCCAGCTTTGTGTGTCATAGACATGCACGGTGCCATCGAAACCTTGGATAAAAGGGAATTAGAGAGTGCAGAAATTAATTGCTTTGCTCTACTCCAGCTGGGCTCAGAATCACCTCCCAGCAGGAACAAGGAAAAACGGCCCAGATTAGAAACCTGTGAGA